AGGGAAGGAATCAAAAGACACCTAAGGCTTCTATACCCCCAGACCCCAGCTGTATTGCTGCTCCTGTGACTCAGAAGACTCTCACTATAATTACCTTAGTCTTCTCTAGCCACCCCTACTTTGTTGCAACCAGAGGCAGATAAAATATGTGGAGCTTCTTTCAAGAGAGAAATCCTTGGGCAGCCCTGAGAGGGGCCCAACCAAGCTTCTCAAGGCATCTCTAGAGAAGATACTGATTCTGGATCTAGAAACAGTGCTCCCGAAGATGGGGGAGGGGGAAAGAGTATGTTCTAACGCTAGCTTATTCGAACTCCTGTGAGCTGGTTTTCATTTTGTAAGCAGCAAATTGGGAGCTTGGTTTCTCAGGCACACTTGGTCCCAAAAGATCTGCATGTCTGGAGGGAATAACACTGCAAAAGGACAAAAGACCTCTTGGCCTCACTGAGTGACCTGGCCCGGAATCGAGAGGTGGCCTGTCTGGAGCAACAGATAATGTGCTGGCTTCCAGCCCCAGCATTGGGTGGATCTGTCCATGGTGCTGAATTTATGAATTGGGAGCAGTTGCTGGGGATTTCTGGACATGAATGTCAGGATGGGGCATTTTTGATCAGCTCCAGTGGCCTGTCCAGCTGCCCCTCGCCCTGGACAAGAAATTACCGATAACCATGGTAATCCCCAAAATAGAGTCCTGCCATGTTCTCTACCTAGGTCTGCCCTTGAAGTCAGTACTGAAACGTCAGCGGGTCCAAAATGCAGCTGCCAGGCTGATGGCAGGGACCAGCAGATAAGATCCCCTATCCCCAGTCTTGGCCCACAGACATTGGCTCCCTGTTGGTTTCTGTGCTCATTTCAAGGTGCTGGTGATGATGACCTCTAAAGCCCTTAACAGTGCAGGACCTTGATATGTGGTGGGACGTCTCTCCCACCCTGATTTTGGGAAAGTGTGAAGGTAAGAGGAGAAGGGGACGACAGGGGACGAGATGGTTGGACAGTGTCATCGAAGCGACCAACATGAATTTGACCCAACTCCGGGAGGCAGTGGAAGACAGGAGGAGGGCCTGGCGTGCTCTGGTCCATGGGGTCACAAAGAGTCAGACACGACTTAATGACTAAAACAACAACAACTCTCCCACAAGATAGCAACCCACCCCACTTGTTGCTAGCAGTCCTTGATGTTAAGAATGGCAACACTCAAGGAGGGCAGGGAAGCCAACGTGAGGACATGAGCTTTCTTGGTGGTGGCCCCTTTCTTCTGAATAACCTCCCTAGAGATAGTTTGCCACTCATCATCCTTCCTCTGTTTTAAGAAAGCTCATTGAGGCTGAATTATACAAAGCCGCCTTCTACTAGCGGTAGATATGGACCTCAAATGAGTTTTAATTTGCCTATTTCTATTTAAAGGTATGTTTGTTGTTTGACTTAGCAGCAGGGTTTATTGTATTTTACTGTATTTATTACATGATGTTTTTACTGTATGGTTTTTATTGTATGTTGTGAAAGTCCCGGAAAACGAGAACACAAAGGGGGCGGTATAGAAGTGGAAACAATAAATAAAGAAGCAACATGGTTTTATTTATTTATTATTTAATCTTTGGCAGTGAGTGTGCTTTGAAGCAGGAGGGCCTCACACAGCATGCATCAAAGCGACGTGCCAGCAGGGAGTTCCGTTTGCAAACAGACGCTGCCATGTCCAAGCTCCCAGACGTGGCACGCCTGCTTCAATCAGGGCCGATGCATGTCAGGAGAAACGGCCATTCCTCTGAGGAGGAGCTCGGGAACATTTCCTTTCCGCTCGCTTTCCTTAAGAATCATCCTGGAGCCACATCTGTCTCCTTTTGCAGAATACCATGTGAAAACGGAGGAGACAGCCTTGGACGGATTCACGCGTCCAGCCTCGGAAGAGTCAATAGGTTGGACTGCTGGAGAGCTTAGCAGGTTAAGGCCTCTGGTTGCCAAGCCAGAGGTTTGGAATTCGTTTCTGCCTCCCTAGCAAGGGCTGGACTCTGAAATCCAGAGGGTCCCTTCCAACTCTGCAGGTCTAAGATAAATATCTATTATATTTGAATAAGGACAACGCCCATTTAATCAATTTTTATTTCAGCTTGCTTTTGAAGCTGTTTTGCTTTAAGGACGACCCCCATTTAATCATTTTTTATTTCAGCTTGCTTTTGAACCTGTTTTGCTTCTTCTTTTGTTATTTATTTATTTATTTATTTATTTATTTATTTATTTATTTATTTATTTATTTATTTATTTATTTATTTATTTAGTTAGTTAGTTAGTTAGTTAGTTAGTTAGTTAGTTAGTTAGTTAGTTATTTGCTGATTGCTTTGTTGAGAGGTGCAGGGAAAAAAATGCAACTGACTGGAGTTTCTGTGCCTGATCTGAGGGGGGGGCAGCCTGGCATTTCCCAAACGCCAGGACGCTGAAAGGCTCTAGGGTCAGAGGCCATGGCAGACCCCTGAAGCCGAGGGGGGCCCTTCGGGGTGCAGGCCTCCCGTGTGGCTCGAAGGCCGGTAGCCCTGGAGAGCACAACCTTGGGCCAGCTCTGACACTTGCCTCCTATCTGGGAGTCTTTTCAAACACTGAGATGCCCGTGCACACATGCATATGCACACACACACACACACACACACACAGAGGTACACACAGCAGCATGCAAACCCACCCACACACCTGCTCACCCCCTCCCTGACCTTGTGTCTCTCATGTAAAGCATGCAAATCTTGCTGCCTGTATGGAGGTTCCTCCCTGTCCCCCCCCACAGTACGCACAGCAGCCTGCAAACCCACCCACACACCCTGCTCACCCCTTCCCTGACCTTGCTTCTCTCATGTAAAGTGTGCAAATCTTGCTGCCCATATGGAGGTTCCTCCCTGTCCCCCCCATGCACACACACTCAGCTGGCGGCATCTCCTGCTGCAACTGGGCTTTGCCCAAACAGAAAATAATAATAAAGTCTCATTAAAATAACAAAGAGGCTCCTCACGATTCCCTGGCCCTTATCTTTGTGTGAGAGAAGGAGAGGGAGAAGGGGGAAATAAATAAATAAAGAGGCTGGCTGTTTGCAGAGCCTGAAAGGGAGGGAGAGGGGGAGGAATGGGGTGGAGGCTAGCGAGGAGGAGGAGGAGAAGAGGAGCAGGAAGCAGCAAAGAACTGGGGAGCCCGAAGGGGAGGAGAGGATGGTCCCCTGGTTTCGAATCTCTGGAGGAGCTGAGGGGGAAGAGAGGGAAGGGGACCCCTCAGCCTCTTATGCTTTGTACCTGGCCCTCCCCACTTCGCCGGTCTCCGGGTGTCTTGGACGGTGACTCACAGAACCCCACAACCACTGGCCGGCCCGGTTGGGGCTGATGGGGTTTGTAGTCTCGCGGCACCCGGAAGTCTGCACGTTGCCCACCCCTGTGGTCAAGGACGAGACCTGAAACACAAAGGGCTCCACCTGTTTATATGGCAAAGCAGTGAGAAAGGGCTGGGATTCTTCCGCTCCCCTGGTCACTCTCCTGTCATGCGTTCAGGAGTGTGTGGGGGGGTGCAGGGGTGGGGGGTGTGATACCCAGAAAAGATAAAACTACATTTTAGAACTGACAATAAAGGTAAAGTTCCCCTTGCCTTTACATGCATATGCACACACACCTAGGGCGCAGTGATCATCCCCGTCTCCAAGTTGCAGAGCCGGCGTTTGTCCAAAGACAGTTTTCCGTGGTCATGTGGCCAGCGCGACTAGACACGGAACACCGGGACCTTCCCACTGTGGTGGTACCTATTTATCTACACATATTATTACATGCTTTCAAATTGTTAGGTTGGCAGGAGCTGGGACAAGCGACAGGATTCGATCTTACGACAGCTGGTCTTCCGACCTTGCAGCACAAAGTATTCTGCAGGCAAACCCGCAGAGCTACCACGTCCCTTTGAGAACTGACAGTACATTGAGAGAAAGACCAGGCCTCAGAAAGACCTCACCCTGAAACATTCACACCTAGCTCAAAAGTATTTATGGCTGACGTAGAATAACAAGGTAACGCTTCTTCTCTGCCGATCCACCTTTTGGATGTAACAAAGAGGCCCACCCTCGGAATGCTTGTAGGAGGAAGCCAGCGAGTAACATTCACAAGTGATTCACAGAATCGTAGCATTTTGTGGCTCTTTGTCTGTATCATTATAAAATGTATGTACACTATATGTTCGGGATCTTCTCTGCTTTTAAGGGAAGTCCCGGCTGACCTTTCTTGTTCTTTGCTCTTTAAAATAGAATCAGGCCTTTGGTGCAGCTGTTGCCCCTGTGCCTGATTCCTTGCCGGAAAACCAAAACCCAAATCTGGCCGGTAACAGGTGTGGGGGTCCCTCTTTTTCTCCCCGAAAGCATCAGCAGCTCCTTGCAGTGGGCCCTGCCTTCGACTCTGGGCCATCCTCCACCCCACCGTCACCACCAACAACACCTCATGTTTTGGAAAGGGCACCTCAGAGGGCTGTCATGGTGGGGTTGGCGATCGACCGCTTCCTCCCTGACCCCCCCCCAAACTCCCTGGGACTTGCCACAGTTCTCGAGCGTTCTGGGACATTAAAAGAAATTCAGCTCTGTGGCCATGACACACACACACACACACACACCGGGAGAGAGGGAAAGAGCAGGAAAGGAGATAAAAATGAAACAACCTACCTAGGAGGGTAATTCGATGGAATGCAACATGTTTGTGTGTGCATGCAAAAAGGTTGTTCACGTGCCGTTACCCATTGGATTCATGGGCTTTCCTCGCAAGGGCCCAGAGTGTCTAGCCCCCAACCCCTGCCCAAGACCAGATCCTCAAGAGCCCCACTCCTCAAGGCGGCCCCCAGCTCCTTCCCAGCAAAGAGTCCTTGTTCCCAAGTGGGATTCTTGGGAGAACCAGCAGTGGGGCTGGGCTCATGCTGGGGACATGCAGAAAGTGGAAAGGAGGAGAAGGAAAGGACTGGAGGAGGAGGAGGAGGAGGCGGTGTGAGCGAAGCAGACCCTGCGGTACCTCGTTGGTGGCCCAGCTATCCTTGTCTGTCCAGTCCTTGTGGGTGCGGATGTACCACCACTGGATCTCAAGGGAGTACGAATTCGAGCCGGTCCCCCGGAAGGAACACGCCATCTCCACATCCTCGCCAGCCCGGGTGGTCATGTCATGAGGGGTCTCGGTGAAGAACGCTGCAGGGAGGAGAAAGAGACACATGGCCGTCAGCCGTCAGGGGGGTCTTCTGCTCCTCCGATGGGTCCGTTGACTCACACGACGGAGGGGAAGGTTTGCCTTGGCTGTCCCAAGCACAAGAGCTGTGCTGTGGTCCTTGGGCACTGGAGCAGTTGGCAACCTGGGACCTTGAGAGCCAGGCCACGTGGCTCGAGACAAAACAACCCCCCTGCCAAATTACAGACAACGAACACAGACCGAAATCGAACACCGCAGATTCCCTCTCGTTTGGTGTTAAGTCCCATGGTGGGGGTGAAACTCTGCCCTTCCGGTTTTGTTTTGGACTGCCCAAAGAATTAAAAAATCAGAACCGTCAACCCATTAAAGGCCCTTCAGTTAATTGGCAATCGTCTCTCAAATGATTAATCAATTAGCCAATTAAAATAAATACTACAGTGACTCCATGCAGGTGTTATCTTGAGAATATGCAATTAAGACGCCAATTGCTCTTGACTAAATAACCCCGACAAGCCATTTATTGTTGGACGATGTAAAGAGAGAGAGAGAGAGAGAGAGAGAGGAAGAATGGGGTTCTTGCTACACCTCTGGCAGCCTCAAGAGAGAGAGAGAGAGAGAGAATAGGGTTCTTGCTACACCTCTGGTAGCCTCGAAGGCCCAGTTGGCATGGCTTGCTTTGTGGGCTCAGCAACAGGCTTTCTGTCTCAACCCCCACAGCGGGACCCAAATGATAGTTGGACCACCGTATCCTCCTGAAAGAGCAGGGTGACATGCAATCAAACAAGGACATTGCTCCATCATTGGACCTTGACTGGAACTAAGTCATTGAAATAAGCTATTGATTGATTGATTGATTGATTGATTGATTGATTGATTGATTGATTGATTGATAGGCTGCCTTTCTCTCGATGGGACTCAAGGAAGCTCACAATGTTAAAAAACCAACAACAATGAAAGAAAACCCGGAATTTGAAACACAACAGATTGTAACTTGCTGCCTGCGAGCGGTAAAGAGGGAGGCGACCCCGCTTGCCCCATGCATCCACGTTGCCACGTGTCCACATTGCTGTTTTACTCTGGCATGGGTGGCTGTGCCCATTCCTATTGCTGTGGGTGCGTTAGATGCGACCTGTGAGGTGAGAGTGCCCTGCTCTGCTCCTGCCCTCTTTTTTCATTTAAAAGAAGGCATTTATGCCTACGCACAAGAAATTCGATCACAGCACCCTGCCCTTGGTGGGTCTGCCTATGTGCATCAAAACAAATAAAATAAATTGAGGAGTGGGTGGTTGGCATCCCCTTTCTGACCCCAAGAGAAACCCCCATGATAGACGGACACATGGGGGACACAGAAGAGGAAGGGCAGCCTTGCTTGGAAGCGCTACGGATCGTGGTGGGTCTTCGGCGCGTGTCCTCCCTCCCCTTCCCCTGGTCTCCAGAGGATCCACCACCTCTTTGGGGGAACGATGCGACTCCGTGGGATGCCTTGGAAGCAAACCCTCACTCTCCATGGCTATGGATCTACCAATGTTTACAGAAAAGTTACTTTTCTTTTGACTAAACCGCGAAGAATGGGAGCGGCCGTCCTGGAAAGGGGCATTTCCTCTCCCTTCTTTTCCTCTTTGTTGTTGTCTATGCCAGAGGGTGTCCTCCATCCGGTGCGCATACAGAGCTCCCTGCTTCCGACATGCAGAGAAGTGGCCGGCAGCCTCCTCCCCCTCCCTGTGCATTGATGTTTTGCCCTCAACAGCTCTGCTGCCCAGGGAACCCTTTGGGATAAGCATTCAGGGGCACCCGAGGTGGGGCTTCTTGCAGCCTTTCTCCTGGGGGACCAAGATGGCATCGTATTACTACCACGTGCCATGATATTAGTGCGCTATTATAAGAGACAGAATGTCAGTGGGCTGTGGTGCAACGAGAAGGCCGGCGCCTGCCTTTACCATTGGATCAAAGGCTCTCCTGCCTTGGCCACAGAGTCCAGCAGCTGGGCCCTTCTGCCCTGGAGGGAGCCCCTGCCGGTTTCAACAGCTGGATGCTTTGGGCTCCCATAGCTGATGCCTGGGGCTGAGCTATGGAGAGTCCTCCTCCTCCTTCTCTTCTCCCTCCAGAGAGCCACCCAACAGCAGCCCACAAACTCCTTCTGCGCTGCCAGTATTCCCCCCCCCCCAATTCCACCTGCCATCCATTTTCCTCTCCCTTCCTTGATCCTTGCGAGGAATAACATGGCCGGCCAAGAGCAGAACACTAAAAAGGAGCCACTTGGATTAATCATAAATGATCTGCTGCTGAAGCCATGCCATTTCACACGGTCTCCTTCTGCCACAGCTGGAACCTTGGTAGGGGAGAGAAAAACCTAATGAAGATGAGTCACAGGGACCCTTGGCCAGGAATCCCTCATCAGACTTGCAGAGATATCTAAATGTTTTCGGGGTGGTGGAGAGGAGATTCCTGCCAGCCCCCTATGCTCCTCTTTTCTATGACAGCTGAGCTGTTCCAGAGGCTGAGCACAGAATTCATGTACCATCACATCATGGCAGTCTCTAGAGCAAGGCTTTGAACTCGGGTGCAAAGCGGTGGCTTCCGCCCCAGAGTCTGAAACTACAGAAACACAGAACACTAGCACTGGAAGGGACCCCACAGATCATCGAGTCCAACTCCCTGCCAAAGCACAGATAATCTTTCCTTAGGCAAAAATCTTCTGATCTGATCCCTTTGAAGGAGCAGAAAATAAGTTTGCTCCATCTTGTGCATGACAGCCTCCTGGAGCTTTGAACGCAGTTTCCACCTCAGCTCTTGAGTCTTCTCTTTGCCAGGCTAAACGTAGGCAACACTTTCTGTTTTTCCTTGCACGGCATGGTCTCCACACACTTTCCCTCCTTGTATCCCTTCTGGATGCTTGCCAGCTTTTTGGTATCTCAACTAGAGAATTGACTCCCCACTCAGGAAAAAAAAGGGGGGGTGGAGTACTGCCTTCGTATGGCATTGTGTTGCCTATCATGCTACTCCTATCATGCTACTCCTTTGTACACACCAGGAGAGGAAGCTGAACACATTCCATATGCGTTGCGTCCATCACATTTTTGGTATTGCCTGGCAGGACAAAGTTCCAAATAGAGTAGTCCTAGAATGAGCTGGAATTTTTAGCATGTATACATTACTGAAACAGCGACGTCTACGTTGGCTTGGGCACGTCATGAGAATGGCTGATGGTCAGATTCCAAAGGATCTCCTCTATGGAGAATGAGTGCAGGGAAATCTCCCCAGAGGGAGACCACAGCTGCGATACAAGGAGATCTGCAAGCGGGATCTGAAGGTCTTAGGAATGGACCTCAACAGATGGGAAACCCTGACCTTCAAGAGCTCAGCCTGGAGGCAGGCAGTGCATCACAGCCTCTACCATTTTGAGGACACCCTTGTCCAGCAGGCTGAGGCAAAGAGAAAGTCACAAAAGCATCCAAACCAGGGAGCTAGATGGAGTACAGATTGTATTTGTCTTCAGTGTGGAAGGGATGGTCACTCTCGATTTGGCCTTCTCAGCCACACTAGACGCTGTTACAAGTCCTCCATGCAGAGCATGCTACCATAGTCTCTCAAGACTGAAGGTATGCCTAATCTAAAATCTACTTCTATCATGGCTTAAATGCCCGGCTGAACGGGCAGCAGGCAGACCATAAGCTGGTACTGAAGTCTGGGGCAGCCCTGGCACACACAGAGAGAGCAGCAGCTGCTCATCAGCACAAGTCCCTTTAAAATCCAGGGCTGGCCTCGGGGGGGGGGCAGGTGGGCAGGTGCCAAGCAGACAGCTTGAAGACTTGGGTCGCCCTCACCAGCTCAAGAGGCACCCTACCCACAGCCAGCTAGGCTGAGAAGCAGTAAACCTTTCTTTCCCAAATCTTACAGGTTGTTTGCAGAACTTTCTTGGGGGGAGGGGGGAAACAACCTGCCGCTAACTAGCTTGAATGTAGCATGCCTCCCCCTCTGTTTTTAATTAGATGCTGTGCACCCTCGGGAAAAAATCAGAGAAGCACCGCTTTCGTTTAAGCACTACAAATACTGCACTCTCAATATTTATACAGTATTTAATAGATGCTGCATGCCTGTAAAAGAGGACGGGGTGCTGCCCAAGGCCCGTTTGCTTTCCCCAGGCCATCTCTGTCACATCCCTTCCTCTCTTAAGCCACGGTGGAAGCCAACCCTCGGCAGATCTCCCCAGAGACAGCGCAGTTGGCAGCTCTGGCTGGTGCCATCGGGACACCCAGGTTCCTCCGTGGCAAGTCTTCTGCTCTGCAGCATCTCTCTTCTCGCCCCCCCCCCAGGTTTGACCCTATGCCACCCCTTCTCTCTGTTTGTGGCTTCTCTGCCCTCCTGGCGTGGCTCTCACCACAGGTCATGACAAAGCTCCCAAACGCAACCACTTCTCCGCAAAAAGCTGGCTCCGTCGATCAAATGCTAGACGCCTTGGGGGGGGAGGCTTTGCCTGCAGAGCCTAATATTTTTCCTGGGAACTCCTTGGGAATCACCAGAGATTTTTTTCCCCCAGACGTTCTGCAAAGCAGAGACCGGGAAGGACATGTGAGTTGAGCCTTTTGGGGTTCAGGAGCCGACGGGAAGCCTTGCCATGCTTCTAAAGGTGACCCCCCCTGACTCCCCCACTGCTACTTAGGCTACCACTGACCTTCCTTGACTTTCCACTCTCCAGCAGACATGGCTTTGCCTTCACAACTTTGCCCAGGAGATTGGGAAGTGAATTTACGGCTTTCCCCTGGGTTTCTGATCAGGCCTGAAAAGTGAATTATTATCAGCCTTCGCAGACAAGTTAATAGCTTTAATGTCTCTCTGTCCCTCTGGATGCCTGGAAATCCCATAGACTTATCGCTTCCCTTTAATCCATCTTCGTGGGGGCAGACCAGCAAAATACTGAGCGTGAGAGGCTTAATGAGCAGCCCACGTCCCTGCTGGGTTCGCGAGAGCGTCTTCCCTGCCCGTCGGGACCGTTCAGAGAGCGT